GGCAACATCAACTGACTTCTCTATCTGGATAACCGATCGGATCTGTCTTTCCCGCGCAATATTTAAATAAGTCTGCAGAGGATGGCCCCGGTGCAAAGTCGACCTGAAGTGGTGGGTTTTCTTTTGAAAACCATTTTCAGTCACGGGACATTTTACAAATCCCGAAAAAAGAGGAGGATGAGGAGGCTGCAGTTATTAATAAGGTGGATAGATTCCGTTGTGGAAACGGTAAAAAGAAACATATTCCTTCTGACAGTTCGCGAGAGAGGGGGCGGGGTTTTGCGTGACGTCCACCTGCGAATGCAGACACGATGGCTGGATTGCATTTACATTACACTGAGATCCGATCACAATGCGTCCTCGACTACCTCTGGTCCAGGACACGCTGATCGGATAACATTCCGATCAGAAGCGCGTTTACACTTGTCTTTTCAATGTGTATGTAGACAACATCCGGATACAGGTCGCATGTTAATGCCAAGTGTAAATGCAGCCTTAAATGACTGGAAAGTAATTTATTGGTCAAAAAGTGTGGGAACTCTGTAATCCAAAACCCCATTTGAAACTATTGACTCCAAAAATAACTCCAACCTCTCAAATTAAAAATTTTTTTTTTTTGCCATTTCCAGTTCACTGCTTCTTTAATACAGGTCCTCATGCTTTGTGCTTTTTGTTCTTATTTTTATGTTGTTGTTGTTGTTTTTCCTTTTCCGTCCTGCTTTTTTGCATATGCTATCTTTAACTTGCTTGCTTGCTCTGCAGAGGAGCCTCCCCCTCGGCCCCCTCAGCCATCTTTGCTGGTTAAGAGTAAGTGTGGACCCTCAGTTCAGTTTAAGCACTGCTCATGCCCCCTCTGTTCACTCCTAGCACCCCTACTCAAAGGTACAGCACATCTGTATTGTATGCATTTGTGTTTGCTCTTTCACTCCCTATATTTCTCTCTCAGTTGCTCTAGTTTTGAAGTTATCTGTTTGTCGTGTGTTTACTGTGGTCTCATGCATTGACATGATGTTTGATAAACAGTTGATCCCATAGTACCCATTTTTCACCAAAATGATGCTGGTTACAGAGCTGGTACGGCAAGGGATCTGCAAATCTCTCTAAGAACTGGCCTGCATTTCACTGACTTGAAAGTTGAATGATGACATAACTATGTTAAGTACATAACTATGACAAAACATGTTGTACTCCGTCAAACATGGTGGCCTATACTAACATACAAATAGTACCATATTAATGTATTTACATATTTTGCTCATATTACAATGCTGTTACATTCTTTATTCTTTATTAGTAGAGACATAGACTTGTGTATGTTACATTTTCATTTGAAACTGTTGGGTCAATGAAACACACTTGTACTTTTTAACTTTAGGATTAGTTAAGTTAATATTGTATTTTCATTTAACATGTTTTTCCTTTTTTATTTATTACATTTTTTCACAAAAAAATTAGTTTGAGATCAAACAATAATTTGTAGATACCGGCAATATTGTCACAAACCCTTGTAGTTGAAGACTGAACCACCATTTTTGTATGTAGAAACCAAAGATTTCTGTCTGTTAGCATTTCCGTTCATGTCAGTGGCAGTTGCTTACCTGGCACAATGAGACCATGTTAATCTGCATAACCTAGACCTTTGGTAGAATCGCTTAGTGCTGGCTCCCATCCAAGTATTCGTGAAGACACGGTATGAGACAAGTTAGTGTACATTAGTTTCTCTGGAGGAATGTTAGATATACTGTACCTTCATGACTGTTCTAATATGTGCTCATATTTTAACCCTGAAAAATATTTCTTCTGTTTTACAGTTCCTGTCATTAAATTACATTTCAAGCTCAACAACATTTTTTACATTTGTTTTTGTCATGTGACTAGAACCCTCCTACGATGCTGTTGCTGAGGACGAGGATCAAACTTCATCAGGCCTTCGGCGGCTCTCTTTGAAGAAGGGACTTAAGCTCAAACCAGCTGCCTGGGTCTGTGCTACCAAATTAGGTGATCGTTCCACATACAGTGTGCGGACTCCAGGGGGCTGCACTCCCACAGAATTCTCTCTCATAGACTTTGGAGAAGAGTTTCCATCGGCCACACCTACACCCTCTCCTGTGGTGGAGCTTCAAATCCCAACCCTGGCTAAACTGGCACTTGAAGCAGAGAACATTTTAGACAGAACTCCTCCTCAGAGCCCCTCACGCTCTCTACCCCGCCCCCTTCACCCTACCCCAGTGGTGGACTGGGTTGCCCGGCCCCTCCCTCCACCCCCAGCCTATGACGATGTAGCACAAGATGAGGATGACTTTGAAGTAAGCTCCATCAACAGTGCAGAATGTGGAGCTGATGAACCATGCTCTCTACGTACGTCCTGCACTCCCACTGGAGAGTGTAAATCTCATGTAGAAGACAATTTATTTTTGCCCTGCTGGCAGAGCAATGCCAGCACCTTCTCGCAGTCTGCTGAGATCTTCCAAGAGCTGCAGCAGGAGTGTATGAGGCACCTCAATGTACCTGTGACCTCTACCAGCCCTGGTCTGGAGCCACACCGCCAGATAGTCCTTACTTTTTCTGAGGACAAACCCCAGATACCACCACGTATCCCCATACCACCCCGTCCAGTTAAACGTGCAGGTGGCGATTATGCTCGCTGGTCTGATGAGCTGTCTCCAATCTCTGGAAATGAGGATCATAAGGAGTGTCCACCCCAGATTCCCCCAAGAGATCCTCTCTCTCAACCAGGCTCTCGCACGCCAAGTCCACATGTGGGCTCCCCTCAGACTCGCAGCAGCCTCTGCTCAGCTTCCTCCAACTATGGCCCATCCTACCTCTCCACCTCACCTGCTAAACTAATGCAAACCACTCAGAGCTTCGCCTCCGATCCCAAATATGCTGCTCCCAAGGTCATCCAGGCACAGGGCAAAGATAAGGAGCCAGCCAAAGGGCCCTGCATTCTGCCTGTCGTACGTGATGGCAAGAAGGTCAGCAACACGCACTACTACCTCCTGCCTGAGAGGCCTCCGTATCTGGACCGCTACAATAAGTTCTTCAAAGAGGCGGAGAGTGGTGAGGAAAAGAAGCAGGTAAACACAGCCACTGTCAAGCCCATGATTCATCAACAAGGGGAGCTCAAGTCCAATTTCTCCTCCAATAACACCAGCAGTCTGACGGGCTCTGGATATAGAGGGGGGCTGAAGAACTCTCTCAGCCTGTGCCGAGTAAGCTCTGATGGCTCATTTAACAGGTCTGACAGCACCAGCAACAATGACAAAGTCAAACTGGTGAGAGATTTGAAGATTTATATTAAACAGATTCATGTTATTATTTTTTGTTTTCTTGAAACTTTTGTATGCATCCAATATAAGCTGTCGTGTTCTTGTTATGACAGAATGATTCTTGAGTGGCTTGGGCTGGCTGTGTGGTGTCTTAATTGTAGGAACTTTGTTTTTGACCAGAGTAATTATCATTTATTTATATTGTGGCAAGCAGACAGACCATAGTTCTGATCATATTTTTCCAAAACCTACATTTTCTGCATGGATAACTCCATTAAGGCAAAAACTGTCCATCATGAAGGCTTACTTGCTTGATTAGGCCAAAACCTAAATTAGCAATTTGGGTAAAGATGATCCCAGAATGTAGAGCAGTGAGCTCCATGAGAAAATGCATCCAATAAAAAAATAGTAGAAAAAAATGGCAATTATATTTAGGAAGAGGCTATATGCACTCAGTGAAAATAATGTTATTGCATTTGCAGACATATACAGATTTGAACTTGATTCAGTCACGTTAAAAGCTAAATACACTGTCGTTTTGCACTGCAGACTGCACAGTGTTTACACTAAGTGCAGTATAGCCCGCCTTGTTGGCAAAGGCTATTTACACTAACTCCACCCACCATTGTCTGATTGGGACAGACAAAATAACAACAGGAATCAATTTGACCACCGGTAGAGTGGAGCGGAAAGTAAAGACAGTGTATTTAGCTTTAAATGCGACCGAATCGAGTTCAGATCTGCATATATAGCATATAGTCTATTATTTTCTCAGGAAGCTATGCATTATTTTGCATCATTAGCTTAGCCATGCATGCTAATGTCACACGTTTTTTTCTGGTCAGTTGTATAGAGTCTCCTGTGCAAGGGAGTCAATGTTTGTTTTAATGGTGTTCCACATCAGTCACTGATTCAGTTCCATAATGGCCTCAGTGAGTGCCGGTGTAGGCTGTAGTGCAGAAATGCAGCTCACTAGGGTTTGAAAAGGAGCTGTCTTTTAAACAACTATACTATGTAGAATTAGGCTCACTTTACTATCTGTGATTATTCCAAAGCCACTCCTTTACGGACCGTCTATGGATTTATAGTTATTGAATTTGCCCTGTTTAGGTGCAGGAGGCTGTCCATGTAGTAACAATTGAAGAATGTCAGACGGCTTTACAGAATCACAGCTGGAATGTACAGAAGGCTGTACACTACTTGAAGGTAACAGTCATCACAGCTATCATGATTCACTGGCTGGTTAGTGGTAATCTAATTGTAATTAAAGGGGTCATATGATGCGATTTCAAGTTTTCCTTTCTCTTTGGAGTAGTAATCAGACACAGGAAGGAAATCTCCTTCCTCCTCTACCTTTGGCACTGGAAGTATATCCATAATATTCATGGAGGACCTAATGAGTTAAGTTACTTTTATCCATTTTTTCACATCTTTTGGTGCCCAGGTGGAGCAGCTCTTCTGTCTGGGCCTGAAGACAAGGGTGGAGTGTCATAAGATTCTAGAATTGTGTGACTGGAATCTGGAGTTAGCCAGCACACAACTGTTGGACTCTTATGGCCCAGTGAAGCTGAGGTAGGACGGTCTTTGGCTATGTTTACACTGCAGGCCTTGTGTTCAATTCTGAAAACATGGAGGAAACTAAACACAGCGTTTATGCTTTCATTTAAGCTGTGAATCATAAAACTGAAGATAATTTTATTTTTGTAAAAGTTAAAATAAATAAATGCAAAATTATTAGAATTGTGAGCCTACAATGTTGTTTGCACTTTGATTTTCTCCCTACTCAAGCTTTGTTTTTCTTTGCTCTCATTTCTCTATTCTTCGCTTTTGATCCCAAATGTTACAATTCTAGTTTCTTGCAGAACAGAGTGAGTTTAACATCTACTTTGGTCCCGTATTGCTAGGTTGATAGCAGTGCTGTGCGATTTGGACAAAAAATACTTTCATGATTTTTTGATAAATATTTCAATTTCAGTTCCTGATTTTAAGACAACATTTCCTTATACAATTTACATTCATAAATGCATTTCTGTGTTTATGAATTAGATTTTGAAACATTTCAAAAGGAAACCAATTAGAGCTTGATCAAAACAGACAAAACAATACAAATATGAGTAAACATCAAAACAAAACAAAAAACAACCTAGACCGAAGTCTCTCAAATAAGAGAAACTAGAACAGTGACAGGAAGGTTTCTGTACTTTTTTTCTGTCGTAAGGCCAGTTCTTGTGCTCTTTTTTTTTTTCTGATTGCAGAGAACAGAGGCAGAGTCAGAACTCCACTCACTGCCACTCAAAACGCTACAATGCTTCTGCTTTAGTGTGTGTCTCGCAGGGACAATATAATCATCATACATTGCAAAAAATGGCTTATCTTACTTAGGGGAGGGGGGGACTAAATTAAGTGCATTTTGCTTAAAACAAGTAACATTATCTGCCAGTGGGGTAAGTAAAATACTTGTTTTAAGAATATTTTACTTACCCCACTGGCAGATAATTTTACTTGTTTTAAGCAAAATGCACTTAATTTAGTTTTTCCCCCTGGAAACAAGACTAAATATCGTAAGTTATTTTGCTTATCTAATATCTACTTATCTAGTATCTAATATCTATCACCATGCAACCCAAGACTGGTTGCCCACTGAAGCTAAGCAGGGTTGAGCCTGGTCACCTGGCCAAAATTGCCCCCCTGGCCCTTGTCAATCATGGCCTCCTAATAATCCCCAACCACTTGATTGGCTCTATGACTCTCTCTCCTCTCCACCTGTAGCTGGTGTGTGGTGAGCGCACTGACGCCGTTGTCCTGTTGATGCTGCGCACTGGTGGTGGTTGAGGAGAGACCCCCCCCCACATGATTGTAAAGCGCTTTGGGTGTACAACAATACACAATAAAGCACTATATAAATGCATCATTCATTCATCTTCATTTAAGAATTTTTTTTTTTAGATATTTTGACTAGAAACAAGACAAAAATACTAGGAAAAGCCATTTTTTGCAGTGTACATAAATGAAAATGCAGTTGGAAAGATGCAAACTTTTTTCTGAATGCCCACAGTAAAAATAGAGTGTCATTTTAATAAACATTTAAACAAAGCCAGCCAATTCACAATGAAATACACATCCAAACTGCAATTTTAAACATACAACAACTTTAATGCATCCAATGTGTAAACAATGATTTAAGCACTTAATTCAGCACAGAAGTGACTACAATCAGCATATTTTAAACCCTGGTGACAGATGTCACTACCTGCTTCTCACAAAGATTGGCTGCTGCATGGTGTTTTTTGCTTGATGTTTACAAGTCGAGCATCTCCAACCTTTTGGCCACTCTCAACTCTTTCGCCGTGCAGGCATGAAGCTCAACTACCATAGGAAAAAATTGCAAATGCTCGCTCTGCTCCATTCACTCACTTCATCAGTGGACATTGGTGGTGGTGAAATCATGCTTTCGGTAGTCTAAAATTGTGCATGCTCACATCATGTTTTTATCATGATTTTGATGAATCGCACATCCCTAATTGACAGTTCTTCCTAGCCAGTAAATTGGTGTGGGGAATGACATCACTACTACATGACTTTGGCTTCCTAGTGATCACATGAACTGAATAGATGAATGTGGACAGCTGGCAGACTTTGGATCGCCGTGTAATTATAGGTAATCAACATAAACATATCTAGAAAATGTAATTTTATATGTTTTCAGACCTAATATAAGACTGTTCCTGAAAAACTTATAATATTAGAGGAAAACATAGCATGACGTAATGAGATGATTATTAAAGGGGTCATAGGACGTTGCTAAAAAAAACATTATGTTGTGTATTTGGTGTAATGCAATGTGTTTATGTGGTTTAAGGTTAAAAAAACACATTATTTTCCACATAATGTACATTATTGTTGCTCCTCTATGCCCGGCTTTCTGAAACACGTCGATTTTTACAAAGCTCATCGTTCTGAAAAGCGAGGTGTGCTCTGATTATCCAGCTATCCAGTGCGTTGTGATTGGCCGAATACCTCAAGCATGTGACGGAAATGTTACGCCCCTGACCATTCTGTGATGCCCTGTGTCCCGGGTCGACAAGACAAAAACAATAAAACCCATTACAAACGAGGCATTTGTTGCATCCAGTGGGGACATAATTACTGATTATAATGACTTATACTGTCTTTTTACACGTTGCGTTGCGTTGCGTATCGCGCTGCGTAAACAAAACCATGTCTGGAGAAACGACAAACAAGTGCTACTCTACACTGCTCAAAACTCGCGTTTGAATCGTCAGTGGCAAATTCTTTAAATATGAAAACGTACTTACAGTCTGTGAGTCAGAACAGCCGGCATTGTAGTCTACTCTACCAGGATCAGGAAACAGTCCTCCATCAGCGCGAAGTTGATGTATTTCCTCAGCAACCAGCACGGATCAGCTCTCGGCATGACAAAGCGGATAGCGTCCTCTTTTGGAAGGCCAAACAATGTAGTTTCGCTTTCACAATGAAACACACAGCGTCTCCACGACATGGCAGCAGCGGCAACAACAATACTACAGCGAGAATAAAAGTTACGCCTTCTTTCTTTGCGTGAACATTTGGGCGGCGTTATGCAAATCTTCCCACATCGTGATGTAGACATGTGGGGGCGTGTTAGAACGAGCCGTTTTAGGAGGGCGTGGTTGACTCTTAACTTTTATAAAGAATATCTCTTTGGATTTAGTCTTTGCAACTTTACAGATCTTGTTTATTCACCAAGAGTTTGTAACACTCAAAAGAGAAAGGAAAAATTTTAATAGCATCATATGACCCCTTTAAAATGAATTAGAATAATTTCTTATTAGCAGATTAAGCAAAGAGTCATAAATTAATTCTTGTGGTTGACTTTCATCATTGTGGCATATTTGGGAATCCCAGATTTTACTAGAACTAGAACAACATATAACCTATGACAATTTCATGATAAGTATATTATTATTATTATGATTATTTTATAATGTTGGATCCTACTCGCACCAAAAGTGAAAGCAGCAATAGATTAAATGATCTCCTATGAAATTAATAGTCTTACATTTTCAGTACAGTGTCAAACATAGGACTAAAAAAGTTGCCTGGGGACAGAAATGACAGTCTGTTATATATTAAACGACAGTCTGTTATATATTATTATATTTGTATTCAGCGGAAAGATATCATAGATTGCTTTAGAAATTTTTTTAGTGTTACACTAACATACGTTAGCACTGAAGTACAACTGAATGTTTGTAGATGAATTTAGGTGATAAAGGCAAACTATGTCTTTGAGGTTGTACATGCCATTTGAGGCTCTTCAGCTTCACGGATGTCAGTTATACAAATCAGAAAAGGTGAAAGTTTCAACTCAAATTAATCTATGTAGACAAATGTACATAATAGGAAGTCAAAGTCGCCTAGTACTGACATCACTCCCCCACACTGATTTATTGGCTAGGAAGAACCGTCAGTCTAGAAATAGGGACCAATAAAAACGTTAAACCCACCCTATTCTGCATGAAACTCAAAGCGCAACATTTGGAACTACAAGCAAAGAACTGAGATCAAAAGCAGATTACTGGAGAAAAATAAAACGTTGTTTCGCTTGTAATTCTGATAATTTTGCTTTTGTGTTTCTTTTTTTTTTTGGTTAATATTTTCTTCATGCGTCTTCAGTTTTATGATTCATGTTATATCTTTAATTCTGTAATCGCAATACGTTTGGCATCAAATTGACACCATACTTCCATCAGCGCAGAATTGTGATGGAATCCAAAAAAAGATCTAAAGTGACGTATGTCACATGAATTCCAGTATATTGAAAAATCATATTCCACTTGGTTTGCGCTGTGTACACTGTTATGAAAAAGAAAAAACAGATCTAAGTCATGTATTAGCAAAACAATTGGATGGGCCACTATTGCCTCCGGTCTGAAAATAGCCTCTCTTGTTGTTCTATGCGTCCCCCTACTGGTAATTTAACCTCTCTAAATTCGTTTGATATTTTTATGTAGTATTCCTTATAAATGGCTGATCTGTAGAATGAGCCTATCATTTTCCAGAAAACTTATGTTCTTAGTACCCAGTTCCCAACTCTTCCAATATTATGATTCAGTTTGTGATGCTTTCCAACTTTGTCACATGCTGCTTTAAAAATTTCATTGAATTAATGTGCCATTAGTTTAAACGTATTGTAATCTAACTAAGGTGAAATCAACCCCTTGAACCAGTATAAGTGAGGAATTAAGCATGCGGGAAGTTTTCCTAATCCTCAGTTTTTTAGATTTTTTTTGAGGTTTTGATACCTGTACAGAGATGTTGCATTAACCCTAAATTAATTAAATAACCTTAAACATACACTGAAAAAAAAGATTTTGTGGTGTTGTAAAATATATTAAATTAATCATCATAAATTCTACTTGTAATATTAAGATTATGCCTCAGGGCATGCTCGTCCTAGTTTTAATCCATTTTAGTTTCTGTGCTCAATTGCCATCTGTTGTAGACACTTCTTCTGTAAGAAAACTTCCATACAGGGGGGCTGAGTCTACAAAAAAAAAAAAAACTTTTTGTTTTATTGCTGCCAATATATATAAAAAGTTTCTACACTTTCACTACTTGCTTGTGCAGGACTGTATTTCAAGATGCTTTTTGTGTAGCTTTTAATTATAATGTGAATTTTTCAACTTTCCTTTTTCTTATTTTTCCTGTCTCCTACTTTTGATTATATAGTATGTATTAGTTTTGCTACCCATTGTCAAGTGCTGTGTGAATTTTATGTATCAAATCTTTTTCTTTTTTTTGCAGACAATAATGCATTGGAAAAGCCCCATGCCCTAAAAGAATTTTGAGAGCACCAACGGCACTCTGAGGGCCAACCAGGACTCTATCCCAGCACATTTTACCTCCAGATCTGACTTGTTTGTGTGTGTGTGTGTGTGTGTGTGTGTGTGTGTGAGAGAGAGAGAGAGAGAGAGAGAGAGAGAGAGAGTGTGCACATATGTGGGGGAGTGTGTGCTCTTCCTGAAATCTTTCTCTAGGGTGCAATACAGAGTTCACAGGTCAATCTGCTTTTTGTTTTCCAGTTGATCGCAACAGATGGAAACCAAGGTGCTGCTTGTCATTTTTCATTGTAATTTTATAAACAAGAGGTGAATAAACAGGCTTATGAAAGCCTCTAAGTATATATATATATATATATATATACAGTCGTGGTCAGAATTATTGGCACCCTTGGTAAATAAGGCTGTGAAAATAAATCTGCATTGTTAATCATTTTGATCTTTTATTTAAAAAATTCACATAAAT